TTCTCTTATTGAAGTTTGCTTGTTCTCGCGCACCTGATGAATGAACCCGTATTAATTGCCCGAAGTCACGACATGTCTCCATTACTCTGGAACTCTTTGTAAAAGAACAAGTGGACGGTACATATAAGAGAGAGACCAGAACAGAGCAGGGTAAAACAGTGTTTCATCGTTATTTTTCACAAATTGGCCACGCAACGCTTTGACCTGTAGCGAAAATTGAATCAGACCGTGTGTTCTGTTACAAAACGAGAAGGAAAATATCCATCGTACCGTGTTATCCGATTATTCGTTGCTGAATATTTTCCAATTTGCGATTTCCCATGTATGAATTAATTTTTTGTCTTCCAAAATCTAGGTAAAAAAATATTCTCTCTATATTTATGATTGACCAGATATATTTTGTAAACGTTGAAAAAAGTGAACAAGTCATAGAAAGCGACGTTATTTCGGTATAACTTGATGAAATTGTTGGAAGCATCATAATCTTTGATTTAAAGGAATGTTTTATAATTACAAATACAAATATTAGATAATATTTTAATAACGACTACCATTTCCAGAATATAATATTTTACAATCTGATAATATCAGTGATAAATATCGCTATCGATATAATTTGTTCTCTTAAGAGTTCTTAATACGTATAATCTAAAAAAAATATGATCAGCTTTCGATATCAAATTTGCGATTAATAACCGAGTAACTTTCTGTTCGTGATCATGCGTGGTAATTAGTACACGACGAGATAATTGGGAAGGCGAATTCATACCGAGCTCTATTAGCTGTGCATCCAGGTCGACGAAGCTGGCAGGAAATTTCTGATTAATTAGTGGAAGTTGAACTAGGATGCGGTCGATCCACGTGGTTCGGTATTCTATAATGATTGGTTCATCTTTCAGTTATATTGTTAACTATTGCGAGTAGTCATACTATTTATTTGCAAATAGCAATTTACAGATGCATTAACATCATTTTCACATAAAATAAATTTCATATATCTTTGAATTTTGTAATAGTGCAATTCAATTCAGTATCTTTGATATCCAAATCCTTTGATTCAATCGTTCCTTCAAAAACTTGTATTTTAAATAATTTATAATATACAAATACTTCATTAAATTAATACAAGTAACAATTTGTCTGGTATCATAATACCTTTTCATAAAAAAAAATAATAATTATGAATACTAATGAAACTTTATTCCTCTCTAATGAATAAAAAATGTTACACGTCATTTTATACAAGGCACACCGCTAGCTGCTATTATGTTAATAACATCGTGCTCAGTCGTTAATTCCTAATTTTGCACAAAGCTCGTTGCTAATAACACGAGGATCGTTCATTATAAAATTCATTTAACAATCGCGACAAAGAATATAAAAAAGGGTTCTTCTTTTATGATGTTACACGTAATATAATGTCATAATTGATGTTTCAGAAAGGTTTTTTTAAGTCGTTCGTTAACTGCTTGAAATAAACGTGTAGGTTCAGGCGACGAACGAGCACGATGACGCCCGTAAACGTCGTTACGGCTGCCCTATTTCCGGACCCCTGGGACTTGCTAATTAAACTGGCTAATAGACGGTCCAGCCTTGGCTGGCCATCAATCGATTTAACTACAAATTCAATTGAACCTTACTTATTGGACGGGAAAAATAATTACTTGTTCCAAAGGTCCTCCTCGTTAGATCGATTCAGATTTTTACGTTGTCTGTGAAATTATGGTTTAACGAAAGTAATTGCGCGCCACATTCGTATTTGTAATTAAAATATATTAATATGTTCCGTGCAATATATGTATAGGCACTGGTATGAATGTACGCATAAGAATATGAATTCCAATAAAAATTTGTTATTTACACATCTTATCATATGTTTGCGAATATCGAACATTCTTTATTTTCAAATATCACATATATTTCTACAGTAATTACTAAAATCTTGTATAATCGGATTTACAAGATGATTTATAAAAAATATTACTATGAACGAATACCTATCGAAACAGCGAATAAAAATCCTGAATCTATAAAAGCTTTTTTTTGGTATTTATATATGTGCAATGTAACACATTGAAATTTAGTAGTATTCTTTAAATGGTCTTGTGAAATAAAAGGGTTAAATTTAATTGTTTATAAATTAAATTTACCACATATAAATGTGACTAGTATAATTCGTAATAACAATTACGACCAGAAACAACTATTTCCTCAAGGAAATATTTATCAAGAGTTATGTGTAAGATAAACAAATCTGGTAGAGGAACAGATTATTTTTAATATGTTTCTCAATGTAACAATGATATTACATAGAAGTGATATGTAAAATATGTGATGCGTTTCGTAATATTCGAAAGGAATCCTTTGAGGAATATGTTAAACTCGACTTCCATGAAACGACTAAAACGTATATAAAATATAAACTGGAATCGTATAGAAGATTTCCACAAGTCGAAGATTCCATGAGTATTCAATTTGTACAAAAGAAGATCGTAGGTATCTCAAAGCAAACTAAGTTGAATAAATCAAAGACTGTTTCAGAAGCAACAATTTGATACGGCGACATGAAAGCCAGACAGACGCTGTCTGGCTTTTGTTTTTCTGCTCTTGCTCTTTTATTACGACAGAAGGCACTTTTAAAAGAGAGAAATGTCAAACGCGAACCGAATGAAATTCTGAGGAGCGATGAAATTCCATGAAATACGAATCGCCTATAAAAACTCTTTTAATCTTATACATCGTTTCAATGTATAAAATAAAAAACTAAAAGACATGTTTATGGGATGCAATATTGCGTCCAACTGAAAGGACTCGTTTTATTATCAAATATCCTAGATATTTTGAAAATATAAAATTTCTTTTAATATTATAGTGAATAGGAAATAGTCTTTGTTTTTGTTCTTTCTTCAAGGAAATAAATCAATTATTTGAACTAGAATTTCTATTAATTAACTTTTGATTTTTTTATATTCTTATATATGGTGATATTCTTATAGAATATTCCATTTCTGTCATCCAAATGTTCTTCAAGTGCCACTATGACTCGATTCTCACTATTAGATTGTTTCTCGTTAAAAAATTTTATAAAAATGTGGAGAAATTATTAGTCATATACAAAGAAGGTTATGAGAACTATTTTTATCACACAAATTTTATATAAATAACTTTGCTACAAGTTATACATAAGATAGGACCAAAATCATAATAAACATACGTATTAAAATTACTCCTATCATACTACTCAAATCACTTTCGTAACACTATTTCGTTCAATAAAAAGTTTCTAATCTGTGAATACTATAATTTCACATAATAGCGTGATCTTAACAACGTCTTAACAAAAACTTGATGGTATAGGGCAGTAACGCAGCGAAGGTACATTTGACGGTCTCTGAAAATAAAGCAAATGATAACCTGTAGAATTATGTTATTATCTTTAGGAAAGGATACACTTTCGTCGGGGTTTTTCTGACACGTAATTCACCATGTTTTTCCATCTGCGGAGAAGAAAACGTGACTCACGACGCACGGGTATAATATTTTCCCCGCTTTGACTTGGCACAGGGTTAATTGCGCATTGATAACTAACGAGCTTCCTTTGTGCAAATTTTCGGTGGAGACGAAAGATCCCAGCAAATTTCATTCGACGCGCCGGATTAAGCGCTTTTGCCCCAGCCTCTGGAACGCGAATCGCTAATTCGCTATGCACAATCGTAAGTTTAATCCAGCGTGACTCGACTTACATATTCCACATATTACTTCTTGCGCTATGATACCTATACGCTCGCAATCTGACAGAAAATCGATAAATGCTTCTTTCGTTTCCTCTTTCATAATGCCACTAATGCGATAACGTCTACATGACTGTACATCAGCGAAAAGTTGAAATGATAGTTTTTCATTTTCGTTAATCATTTCGAACATCATATAGGGTTTACTTCAGATGTACAAGTATCTATAATATTTCTATTCTTTTTTAATGGATACGTTTTAACATCGCATTAAGTACACCTATCTGTGTGATTATTAGCGACGATGATAAAAACTGAGAATACTCTGGAAATTATATTTTATTATAGAACATCGTATCCTTCAGAAAAGAAAAAACTTTTGAAACTTAATTACTTTCGCGGAGATCTTCATTTAGAGTTTCCTTAATCTGGAATTTAGAATGACGCTGTATATTTAGAACGGTTTAAAAGAATATCTATGATATTTCTGTAAAATTCTACAAAATCTACCATTTTTGTGATCATGCATTATAAACTGAATTTTATTCCCTTATAACAAAAATTAGTTGAAAAATTCAAGTAATAAACGATGTGAGGATGAAATAGCTTTTTAACGATTTTTTATTATTAACGGTTTGACTTTTAATATACTTGATAATTATATTATATTTTCTATATTTTACAAACTGGAACATTATATAAAATATGTAGTATTGCATATATTGATATTGCATAAATTCATATTGATTGCGTCAACTTCCCAATTTAACTTGCACACTAATTTGGCTGCTTATTGTTAACATTAAGTTTGTGCATACGAAATATCACTTTTCCAAAATATGGATAAAACTTGAAGCTTTGCTCGGTGAGAATAACGCACATAGCGAGTAATATTGACCGGTTAAATTTAAATTTCGAAAAAATATTGTATATGCGCCAACCTGATATATATGCTCATACGTATATGTGCATTAAGAAGTTTTGAAACATTCCCGCTTTTCACAGAATTTGAATATTTAGTGTAAATTTATCTCCATTCAGCTACATGCACTTTCTGGTAGAAGATGTAATATATCGAATAAAACATTCTTTGGTGTGTTTTAATGATTATCGAATTTGTTACAAATATGGAAAAAATACAATAATGTAATATAAAATACAAATATATCTATTAGAATAGACAAAATAGACAAAAATATAATATAAATAAATATAATAATTCTCTCAAGATTTTTTCAAGTAATAATCTGTATACTCTTTTTGTTGCAGTTTTATCAGTTATTGGAAGCAAGTCAGGTAGCTAACACCACGCTCACGTATCGTCACGTGACGGTTTTCGCGCCAACAAATCGAGCTTTCCAAAAGTACAGCGGAACTACGAAAAACTTGGTTCTCTACCATATGTGTAAGTACCTTGCGTGTTCTTGTCACGTTCATCCGAAGGTTTTTAAAAAGACTCGGGAAGTGTTTGCCTCGTTTTCACCGAAAGAAAAAGAAAAATGAGACATTAGCTCGTTTGTGCATTTAAAAAGTATTTGGCTTGGATAGTCCATACTTTTTCTTTACTATTGTTGTACTTAAAAGTTTAGGAACATAGTGGATGTAAGATATATTCTATTTGAAATGTTCTGTATATTCTTTTATATTTTTTATGTACAAAATTAGCTACAAGCATTACATAGTTTTACTCTAAAGTCACTGAAGTGGTGGAAATATTCGATTCCTTTTACTTCAAACTATATTTCCTAAAATTACATGTAATTCGAGATTCTAATATTGATGCTTTCTTGGTGTTGAATTACAAAACCGTTCCATCATTCGCAAACGTGCTCACAAATACGACGATCATGTTCATTTTAGAAGCTTCTCCAATCGTCTTTTGTTCTGTCTGTATAGTAATTAATACGTTGTACATCTTAATAATAGATGATATACACAATAGATTGGGAAATTTACGAAAATTTTATTAAACGGAAGACTCAGAATTATCCTTTAACACATTCGCTATTAAAAAAATACGTAAATTAATTAGATTTAATTAGAATTAATTAGATATCAATCTAATCACGAATATAAAATTACTCTTTGTCAAGGTATTCTACACTTATACATTAAAGAATCAAATCTTATCCTTAAACATCGAATTCATTTTTGGAATAATTTAAATACGTTGTCGGTATTCAAACACATTTATCTTTTCTTTCTGTTTTCTTACAACCCTCAAATTCCAAATTGTTCTTTGATCTTCCCAAAGATCTGTATACGTATAGAATTTGACTAACAACAACCAAATTCTTATCTACCACTAGTAATATCATTTATCGTGTGATTTATTCAAACACGTTTAACCCATTTCTTGGGTTCTTATAGTTACACGTCAGACTAATCAATACATTAATCCCATGAATTTCGGAATATAGCTCTTTGATCTTCGAAGATACGCTACATACGTATATATGCGGGCTTATATACGCGTATTCGGTGCTCATCGACGTGTCTACATGTAAAATGACGATAGACTTAGCCGCAAAGGGAGATTCGATTGAAAATACATCAAATATGCACAGGAGTTGCAACGCGTGTAACCGTAATTCAAGGTCCTTCGACGATGCACACGAGGATACCGCACGTTCCGACGCATTTGCGATTCTACAATACACCCTATATACACATTTAGATCGATGGTCATTCGATTCCGACCATCTTCGAAAATGTAACAGCGTGTATACGTCGTGGTTCAACATGATGCATTACATTCGTAACTCCAGTATCTCATATCGTTTTGCTTTGCCATATACTAAGCATCCTTTAATAGTTTTCGCATAGACTGATCCATGAAAGTGTTTGGACACATACCATAAGAAACTTTTATGGATGTATTGTGTGTGTTTTATGAAACATTTTGACATTTTATTAGCACTGTAATGAGACACGACTATCGCGATTATATTGATAAAATGTTGAGATGAACCTGAAAATGTGCACCACCCGTTCTATGTTTATACATATACATAGAAATTATTACGCAGAAGTAACTCCCGTATTAGTTGCGTTTCGTTACAATATGAACGAAATTTCAAAATGTTATGTATAATACACGTAATATACTTGCATAAAGCTTCTGTAAGTTTTCAAATGGGTACATTTGCGAGCTACTGTATACGCTGTCGTTTAAAAGTAGGATTTAAAATACAATACATTTCACGTCAATTGTAAAAATTCTGTTAATTTTAAATAACTTAAATAATAATATGAATTTCCTCCTCGCAAAGAATATCATCTATCCTACGAAAATATTCATCGAGTAAAATTGATAACCGAGAACCAAAACCAGTTATTCTATTATGCATTATACATACGTTCATCTGCTAAGTTTTGGATTCAATGCACGCGTATTACTTATGTATAACAACTTCACAATGTCAACAGTCTGCGGCTCGTCTCCGGTGACTTCTCAATTCTGAACTGATCGATCCCTGACAATCTGAGTTGCGCGCTATCCTTCACGGTGGTTGACTACCATAGCAGCCGTATTCAAAGCTTGAATGGAATCGAGACCGCACACGATTAAATTCTCCCCAACCCGTGTTATCCAATCGTCTAAGAGGAAATCGCTTCATCTCTGTCTCTACTAGGAAATGTTCCTTTTGTTGATGCAGATAACGCGAACCTATAGAGTATTATCGAGAATCATAGGTGTAAGACAATCATTTGTTCCTAATTGGAATTTGGTACGATGCAAATTTCAATAATTCGGTGGAACCGTCAACAACGCTTGTTATTAGTAGACTGCTAATCTTCATGCATTTATAGGAAATTTGAGACTACAAAATAATACAAAATGTACATAATGTAAAAATATATAAATATCCACGGTATACTGCTTTTCATAATACTTGATAAGTGAAATAATTCCTTACCATGGTCCTACTTTTTTAATTATATTTTCAAAAATATGATTTAGTATAAAAATCCACAGTCCACTTGTTGTATATTTAAGACAATTATTCATACTGTATATTAAGTTTTTACCAACTTTATGTTTGCGATAAATGTCTCGTAACTTTCATATACATTTTCGGATTGGTTTAAAATTCTACTAGTATAACCACGATAGTCGTGTCTCTTCACGGTATCGATGATATTTCAAAAGACTTTGTAGAATATACGCAATATGTTTATAAAAATTTTCCATGGTAAATGTTCAAATACTTTCATAAGCTATTGTATGTATTTTCAGAAACAAACGTTATTACCAACAATCCTATCGTAATTCGAATCGTATCGTAATTTCAGAAATCTCGATCGTAATGAACATGTAATAATTGAGAAATATGAAGTAAAATTGTTTGGCTTAAGAGATTTCAACGTGTCTGGTCGATAGGTCAAGCTGCCAACGAGGTATCCAAGCGAGTCGTTGGTAATAATTGACAGAGCAGCGTGATAGCATCATATATTCTGACACAGTGGGGCTACTATGAGGGATTGGTCGACTGCTGTAAATCGCTATAATGCGCCGTCGTCGGCGCACCGGCGCGAGATTGCAGAGGTAACGCTGCATTAACTAAGGAAGAACGGCTTTAGGGAACGAACAGAGACCTCCGATGGGATTAATGTCACTGACAGGGTCACAATGCGATTGATAAGGCTTCCAATTACTACACATAGATAACGGAAGACTCCGGGAATTTCGAATATTAATCTTAATTTAATTCGGTAGGAATTATCGAAATTATTAAAATTCCAAGTGTTAATTATAGTACTGTGGTAAATTAAAAGTATATGTATAATGCGCAAGCAACTTCATGGAAAGTATAAATTCGGAGAATTTATTTCTAATTAGTCGAAAATGACGTAGTATTAAATTATTCTAATTTTATCATAGAAGCATTAGAATTTCTAAAAAGATAATTCAATGTTTACACTTAGCTCAGATTTCTTCCTTTCCTAAATTAAAACATTCAAGCGAATTTAAATTCTCTTCTCTAATCATGCACTATCATTTCATTATATTATTTATTATATTCTTTATATTATATTCCTTATTAATAATAATTCTATCCAAATCGAAATTACGAATAAAATCTACTACACATCATTCAAAGAATTTCCTCAAAATTCTTAGCACATCATTCTTTTTGACAAATAAGTTCGTAATTGTGAAAACAGAGATTGGATAAAGAAGAAATGCACATCTGGCATATAAATATACTAAATCCTTGATTTTATAGTGATATCCGGTTTTATACGGCGATTTCCTATGTTCAGCGGCCCCTTCGTGTCCCGAGGCATTTTCACGATTGCTGGCGAAGAAAGTGCGCGCGCGAAGGAAACAAGGAATTAAGAAGGGCGTTGCCGTTTTATGAAGAAACTTCCTTTGCGCGTTTAAGATGCCTCGAGCGACAAGAGAAGGGAAAGATGTCCGGGTTCTTGAAGTTACCCTTTGAACGACAAAAATTTCATTCCCAGTTCAATTTCGCTGCCAAATGAAAAACTTGGTTCTTACAATTAAGGGCGATTTTATTCAAACTGTTATTCTTCGAATGTATTAAATCGGTATACGTGGAATACTTAATTTCGCATACGTGTAAAATCATTTAGAATTTTGTATGAATTCTATCAACGTAGAATTCTACTAATTTAGAATTTACTAAATTGAATACTCATTATAACACAGATTATATAACAGTAGCAGCTACGATTGTTAAACATTCAGAGTCACGGATAAAAATAGTAATAATAAATAAATATTGACTATTTTAGAAACCATATAAATTTTCCGAAGTAATTTTCGATTTAAAGATTCATGATATTCATATGAAGTTTTATTCGGTTCGATTAAACGTTTTATTTTTATGCTGTCATTATTCGAGCACAATTTTTTCGTTTAGTCGATTTAAATTCAATGGGCATGCGAAATTATAAATTCTATCGATTTTATTTCAAGCGCCGTTCGTAGTCATTTTATTTCTATGTCATACTATACAAAATAGCGAAGTATTTAACATGAAATTTCAAATTATTTTCATAATTCGTTAATAGTTTGAAAATACTCTGTTTTACATAAAATTAAGTATTACAGTCTATCGGAATATCTCGATAAATATCGCAGAGTTAAATATCGTGAAACTAAGGGCGTTAATAGTGAAACATTGAAATTCCAATATTATATTACTGTACATAATAAATATAAAAATTTAAGAAGAATAAATAAGTGTAAGTATATCCACAAACAAAACGAGAAGATTTTAAAAGCAATCTCAGCAACCCAGTCAGAGAAGTAGCATAGTGACATCTCAGACCTGACAAATGGAATAAAACGGTATAAAGTCATGCAAGTAGAACAGATCAGCGCTTTACGAGACAAGTGAAACAGTTTGATATACAAAATACTTCGACTGAAAA